TTTAGTTTTGTATTGACTGCCACTCATTGTGAGTTTTACCTTGTTTCACGTTTTTTTGTTTCTATAGATAATATTTTTGAACTTTGTTTTGTTACACAGATAAGTTGCTTCTAAACATTTTGATCCTTCAAAGTCTTATTTTTAACTTTTATTAGACCATAGCAGCATTTAATTTGTGTTTATTTTTCCCTCTGTTGAGACAGTATCCATCTCATATCTTTCCTCATTGCCTTATGAATTATGAGGTTTTCCCTTCTCTCTGGTAAGAACAGAAACTATTCCTGCCCTGTCCAAGTTTCAGAGATTGTTCCCTATAATGTAGGGTTTCTCAGTCTTGGAACTATTGACATTTTGGGGCTAGATAATTGTTTTTTGGGGCAGTACAAGGGACTCTTGTGTATGTTTTCAGAAGTTTAGGAGCACCCCTGGCCTCAGAGCACAAGATGGCAGTGCCATGCTCCAAATTATAGCAGCCAAAAATGTCTCCAAACAATGCCAATGGCTCCATGGTAGTAAAGTTGCACACAGTTAAGAACCAAGGCTCTAATCTTTTCTGGTAGTTTTTTCCATGGCTAAGGATTTTGTTCAGGACTCAAGGGGAACCTATTACAGATCTTCAGAGTTCCGTATCTGATGCTCTCTCTTGTTCCATAGTATTTCCCTGAGAACTTTAGCCACTAGACCTCCCTGGATTCCTAGTTGTGTTTTCTCAACTCAAGGACACCACTGGGTTTTGGGTTTCTTCTCCCCATCCTAGCCTGGAAACTCTAGGCTAGCTGTAAGCTGGGGCCATCCTAGGACTCATGTTGTTTCTTTCCTTGTCTCTCCATGAGTATCATCCTTTATTGCTTGATATCCAGTGTCTTTGAAAACTCATGTTTTGTTATCTTTTGTTATTAAGTTTCTTCAGGTAGACTCTTGTTAACTTCATTTTGGCTCTCATCTTTATTTTTGAAAGGTACTTTTCCAGGGTATTTTAGCTATCTTCTAGTTTCCATTGCTGCTGAATACATGTGCATCAAAAGGTATACTGATCAGTTAGCTATTAATCAATGTTTTATTTCCTTTCTGATGGTCTATCTTTTTCTATCTGGATGTTTTTAAGATCTTCTCTTTGCCTTTGCCATTTTGCAGTTTCACTTTGATGTGTCTAAGCACGGGTTTTTGTTTGTTTGTTTGTTTTTTGAGTTGGAGTCTCACTCTGTCACCCAGACTGGAGTGCAGTGGCCGCTCCTGGCTATTGCAGCCTTGACCTGCTTGGTTCCAGCGATCCTTCCGCCTCAGCCTTCCAAGTAGCCGGAATTACAGGCATACGCTACCATGCCCAGCTGATTTTTTATTTATTGTAGAGATGAGGTCTCGCTGCCCAGGCGAGTCTCGAACCCATGGGCTCAGGCAATCCACTCACCTTAGCCTTCCAAAGGTGTGGGATTACAGGCTGAGCCACCGAGCCCAGCTTAGCATGGGTTTTTTATTTTTAATTTTTCCTGCTTCCTAAAGGTTATGTTCTGAATCTTCACTTCAAACTCTGTCTCTCATCAGTTCTCAAAAATTTGAAGCCATCATTCTTTCAGATATTTTATCATTTTGATGCTGTTTATTCTTTCTCTTTAAAATTTTTATTGGATATAAAAGCACCAACCATAAAGGAAAAGTACATTAATTGAGCTAATTAAAATTAGGACTCTTTATTGGTTAAAAAGCATCAATAGCAAAGTAAAGGGCAAGCTAGAATAATGGGAGATTATGTTTGTAGCACATCTAACTAACAAAAGCTTGAACCCAGTATATTATAAAGAATTCTTACATATCAATAAGGAAAACACAGATGCGATAGAGAAATGTTCAAGGATCTTGAAGAAGCATCTCACAAAAGAAGAGAAATGGCTGGGCACAGTGGCTCAAGCCTGTAATCTCAGCACTTTGGGAGGCCAAAGTGAGGAGAATGCCTGAGCCCACGGGTTCGAGAACAGCCTGGGCAACTTGGCAAGACCTCATCTCTACAGTAAATCAAAAAATTAGCCAGGCATGGTAGCACTCGCCTGTAGTTCTAGCTACTTGGAAGGCTGAGGCGGAAGGATCACCTGAGCCCAGCAGGTCGATGCTGGAGTGACTGTGAGCATGCCACTGCACTCCAGCCTGGACAATGGAGTGAGACTCCAATTCTAAAAAAAAAAAAAAAGAAGAGACATATGTTCAATAAACATAAAAGGGTCTCAGTCTTAGTAGTTATAAGAAAAATGAAAATTTCAGCCACAGAAGATATCACTAAACACTTAGAATGGCCAAATTTAAACTAATACCGTAAAATGTTGGGGAGCTTATGATGCAACTAGAACTCACATGTATTGTTGGGATTATAATAAAAAAGGCCTACTAATGTTGACTATACTTATAACCCGTGACTCACATATTCTACTCCTAAATATACTTAGAACTGAATATATGTACATCAAAAGGGACGCAGTATTTCTGGCAGCCAAGAACTGAAAAGACATAATGGGTAAAGAAGCTGTGAAATATTCGTATGTTAGAATACTATATAGCAATGAAAGATGAATGACTATTACCATGAGTAACAGACTGGATAAATCTCACTAACTTAATGTTAGGGGAAAATGAATACACATGTATAATCCTATTTATATAATTTTCAAATCAAGGCAAGACTGTCACCTCTGGTAGGGAATAGAAGGCATAATGACTAGGAAGGGGCATACATGGTGATTACTGAGGTTCCATTAATGGTGTATTTCTTGTTTGAGAGGATGTTTATGTGGGCATATTTGTTTTTGAAAATTCATCATCCTGTACACTTATTATAATTTATACTTTTTGTATATATGTTATAGTTGATTAAACTGTAATTAAAAATAGATACCACGTTTGCCATTTTAGAGCTGGTGTTTCAGTAGCTAGCAAATATTAAAAATAAAAATGCATATATGATTATAGATTGTGAACATGTATGAAGACAAAGAACAAGGTGCTATGAGATTGAGTAGCCTAGGGATCTACTTTTATATTGAAAGATTTTTTTCCAGGCCTCTTTGAGAAAGAATTAAGTGGAGTGAGGAGGAGAGTGGTGTAAGGTTGGAGTAGTATACAAGACTTATAGGATAAGCTGAGAAGTTTGCTGTTTGTCCCAAGATCATTGAACAGCTTTAGAAGAATTAGTAAGTCTTAAAAATAATTACTTTGGCTATACTGTGAATCATGGATTTGAAACTGGACCAAAGGTGAAACAACTGGATGATTTAAAGCCTGTTACAATGCTCCAGGAAAAATATGATGTCATTTGTGATCTGGACCAGGGTTTGTCAACTTTTCAACTTTTTATGTAAATTGTTCTACCTACTCAGCTTTGCCATTGTAGCATGGTAACAGTCATAGAGAATGCATAAATTAACAAGCATGACTGTGTTTCAGTAAGACTTTTTTTTTTTTTTTAAATAAAAGCAGGTGTCATAGTTTGCCACTCTCTAATCTAGACCAAAGAGAAGAAAAAAATTTAGTCTAGTTTGGAAGTAGATTTAATAGGATACTGATTGGATGTTGGGAATGTAGGTGAGAGGAGAAATTTCAAAGATGATCTGTAGGCTTTTGGTTTGAGTAATTTATGGATAGTGGTGTTGCTGATTAGAGATCAAATTCATTAAAAGTCTAATATACCCACTCATTTAAAATAGTGAATCATTCAATGTTTTTCTTATTTTTGGTCTATAGATACTTTTTGTTCTTTTACACACATATTAGTCACCTATTACACAAAAAATTAAAGGGAGAAAAAGACAAAACAATCAATTGCATTGATCAGCTGTATGTTTTCTGCTAATAGGAGAAAAAGTATTAGAAAAGAAAAGATAAAAGATTATTCCCAGACTCTAGTAGGTCATTGACATTGCACTTCTAACCTCATTTTCTCCCTTCCTCCCAAAAGTAATACCTCCTTCACCCCTGCCCCCAACTGTTGCCTTTCTGAGAATAAGCCAGAGAGTATACAGGTGAGAGGAGACTTTATGCTGATCTTGCCACACGTTAGTGATACCGAGGATGAGGTGGCGGCCTGGTAGAGCCACCATCTGCTCTTCCACAGGTGCTGCTTCCCATGCCCTATGTGTAAGAGGCAGCTGTTCACGTAGTTGCCTTCTTATCATTACTATGCCAAATCCATAACATTGTTTTGATTTTCTTTAGGGTTGCTGTGTTTGGAATTTTATGTTTAATTATCACTAATCATCAGGGAGATGCAAATCAAAACCACACTGAGATACCACCTAACTCCAGTCAGAATGGCAATTATCAACAACTCAAAAAATAACAGCTGCTGGAGAGGGTGTTGCAAAAAGGGAACACTTTTACACTGTTGGTGGGAGTGTAAACTAGTGCAACCTCTGTGGAAAGCAGTGTGGCGATTCCTAAAAGCTCTAAATATCAACCTCCCATATGACCCCACAATCCCCCTACTGGGAATATATCCTGAAGAACTCAAATCACTCTATAAAAAAGATACCTGCACATGTATGTTTATTGCAGCATTGTTCACAATAGCAAGAACCTGGAAGTAACCTGCTGCCCATCAAAAGAGGACTGGATTAAAAAAATGTGTTGCATATACACGATGGAATACTACGCAGCCATAAAAAGGAACAAAATCATGAATTTCGCAGCAACCTGGATGGAACTAGAGTCTATAATACTGAGTGACCTCTCACAGAAACAAAGATCTGAATATCACATGTTCTCACTCATATAATGGACCTTTAACATCCAATGTAATAGTATAAGAAAATGACTGACAGTAGTGGGAAACTATGGTGGGGAGGTGGGATTAATGGTAGCAAATATCTGTCTGGGGACGGGGAAACACCTCTTATCAACAGGGTGCCTGAATGAAACCTATTTGTATACCTAACCCTTAACTGTACCCCACAAAACCATAATAAAAAATATTGATTATTGAAAAAAAAATTTTTTTTCACCATCTTTGACTTTTATAGGCTTTGCTGTCTGTGCATGATACTGTGGCTCAGAAGAATTATGACCCTGTATTGCCTCCTATGCCAGATGATATTGATGATGAGGAGGACTCTGTAAAAATAATTCGTCTGGTCAAAAATAGAGAACCACTGGTGAGTTTTGTTCTACGTTTTATGCTCAGATACAAGTAGATATCAGTATAAAAACAAATCTGACAGCCATGTGCTATTTATTCCTCTCTTTAAAATATGCTTCCTTTATGTCCTAAAACTTTTAAATAAATGAAACATTCATGTCTAAGGAATATGATTTAGAAACATGAAAATAAAACCAAATAAAATGACAGGTATTCTCTTGGTTATAAATAGCAATGATTTCGAAACTGTGATCTATTGATATTTATAAAAGAAAGCATACCATGTACCAAATTTGGCTGATTTGAGAGTAATTGATACAACTAAAAAAATTTGTCTTTGGCTGTTCTAGGTAGCTGACTAATTTCTAAAATAATGAGAAATTAATCAGATGTCTAATATTTCAAAATACAAATGTAACCATTTGTTTTAGCACCAGAATTTGCACAATATTGAACTACTTCAAGGGGTCTGTGGTAGGTAGGTGTGATGTCCTAATCCTCAGAACCTATGCATATGTTACCTTACATGACAAAAAAGACTTTTCGAGTTTAAGTCAAAGATCATTATCCTGGATTATTATCTGGTGAGCTTGGTGTAATCACAAGGGTCCTTATAATATGACAGAAAGAGGCAGGCGGGGAAAAGTCAAGGAAGGAGATGGGATGCTAGAGGCAGAAGGCTGGAATGCTGGGCAACAAGCCGAGAACGCGGGCAGTCTCTAGAACCTCCCCTGCAGGCTCCAGAAGGAATGTGGCCCTACTTGCACCTTGATTTTTATCCCTATAAGTCACAGTTTGGCTTTTTGACCTCCAGAACGATAAGATAACACATTTGTATTATTTCAAGACTGAATTTGTGGTCATTTGTTACATCAGCAACAGGGAACTAATGCAAGGCCTATTCATATTTTTCATGAAAGCACATTCCAAAAGAAAAACAATTAAATTTCATAATCTAGCAGTTTATTTTAAATGTGCTATGCTCATCTATTCTGATTACACTTTTGTGTTTTTAAAGCAAACAGCAGTTGATAATATAGTAATTGCTGAGCACTATGTTAAGTATTTTATATATATTTAATCCTGATACTTGGTATCACTTTTCTGTTTTTACAGACCAGAAAACTGATACAGAAGTGCAGGAGTTTACCCAATTATCACAGCCAATGAGTGGTAGAACTAAGATCCTAGCTCTTTATCTGAAGATACTTGTTTTTTATCCACCATAATGTGTCTTTATATTTTTCCCTTTTTGGTGGTTTTTATCTTCTTTTTGATGGTTTTAAGGGCAGCTTTGGTATATTGATCAATGAATGGAACACTCTTATTCAGAAGAATATATAGATAAGTTTACATGTTGTATAAGGAAAGTTATTGAGTCTCTAAGGCTTACCCAGCGATATCCTAGAGCTTCCAGTATTTCTGGATTTAATTGTTTGATTTTATAACATTCATGCTTTTCATTATAACATTATAACATTCATGCTTTTCATCATGGTTTAATTACATAATGGTAACCTGAATATCTCTTGTTTTTTGTTATAGATGTGACATATTTAGTAAGAATAGGTAGTACTCATGTTGCATTAGGAGAAAGCTATCTCAAGGACCAGTTATCATAAAATTACTAACTCTTGGTGGATTCTGTGCATATATCATTAGGGATTTTTTTATTTTGTATTGATGAATTCAGCTTCTGAGAGAGGTGACTGATCATACTGAGAAATTCAGTAATTCATTAGTAGCAATTTCTTTGGTCAGTCATAGTTCTCCCAGGGAAGTAGTGTTTGGTGTGTTGGTTTGGTAAGCTGACATTTAAACAGTCACCAGCAACACCTAAGTCCATGCCTCCTCACCATGTAAGATCTCCAAAATGTTTATGAAAGAAGTCAGGCATTTACTTCATTGAGATTTCTCAAAAGTTTTTGTTAAATCTGCTGTAAATTAGTTTAAATTTAAAAAGCATTGAATGAACTATATAAAATAGCCTAAAGGTGTGTTATCATGGTTTGTTACTGAATATATTATACCCTTTTGCAATAAGCATGTAACAACGGAAATAATTAGACCTAAATTTGAGGTGATCATTCTTCATTTATTAGTGCTATTTTCTTATAATTTTTATAATATAGTGTATTTAAGATGAGAGTCAGATTAGAATAATGGTAGGAACTGCATGTAAGTTAGATTTGCTAGGATCAGGCAAGTCTTTCAATGTAGAGGGTAAGTCAAGCATACTGGAAGAGGACTTTATTTAGGTGGCCAAAAGTGTTATGCATTCAATGAACAAGATTAGAAGGAAACACGGAGGGATAAAAATGATGAATTTCTGTGTGGTTATACTGAATCTGTGGGCTCTGCAGGTAACAGGAAGAGGCTGGAAATTTAGGAAAGGTAACCAAGTAAACTTCTTAAAAGATTGGTTCAATTATAAGCTATAAACATGAAGGTGTTTTCCATATTTGTAGCATTTGTATATTCAAGGGATATTATAAGCAAGTCTCAAGATTGTTCAGTTTCTTATTAGTGTATCATAGTATAATTTTCCAATGTACTTAATAGCATTGTCCTCTTTAGCTCTCCCAAATCTGGGTTTTTTTAAAATGCTAGTTCTATTTTATTTTATCAATGATTCTGTAGTGTGGTCACATGAATACTGAGCTTGCATTGGATGACTTAAGTGGGAGTTGGAACTCTGTCACTTCTTTGCTCTATATCCTGCAGCAGCAAGTCACTCAGCATCCAGCCTCAGGTTCCTTATCAGAAAATTAGGAAACAACCTCTCTGTGAGTGATCTGAATATCAGCTGAGATGTACTGTATTTGAAATGCTCTTTAAGTTCTGAAGCATTATATAAATGTTGTATCCAGTGGCAAAGGTGGCAGCTGGATGACATGTGCTCAAGGAGAGAATGGGGAGAACCAGCAGTGAGCCCAGATCATGTAAGCATCTGATAATGGAAAGGGAAAAGGGCAATAGTTTGAGGGGCAGGATTGGTCAAAAATGAAATTCTATTAGGTGGTGAGTGGATTTTGAGCCCAGATTCTCAGTATTTCTTATAGGAGCTGTCCTCTTGCTTCTTTGAGAACATGGTTCTCAAAATTTGGTTATTAGAAGAATGACCTGAGATGCTTACTTAAAATGCAGATTTCTGGGCTGTATCCCAAGGGATCTCTATCAAGTGTTTTTGGTGGAGCCTGGGAATCTCAAATTTGAAAAGTCTCAGATGCTCTCTGAAAGTGTTTGGTAGGCTTACACTTTTAAAACACTTATTTCAAATGCTCAACCTGAAATTCACTATGCCATCTACTTTAAAGAGACCTTGCAATATTGGCAGCTTATAAGAAATACAATTTTTATTTAAAGAGATCACTAGTTTACAGAATTAACATTTAATGGAAATCTAACCAGAGTTTTAACTTCTCGATCTAACCTGAAACTCTGTGTATCTTTTGGTCAAAAACCACATAGAATAAATTTAAAGTAATTATACAGGAAAATATGTGTATTTTTAAATATTAAATTCAATTTTAATTCATTTTGCATTTGCAGATTATGTGGTAAGACTGTCAGCCTTTGTACAGTATTGCATATAATATGTTCTGTTACTGAGATTCAATGTAATTTTCATGCAGATACATTACACTGGGAGTAGATCAAGCAACTTTGTTAATAGGGGCTTGGAAAGCAGTGCATTGAGATAGAAGTCTTCAAGAATAAAGGATTTAAGATTAAGAATAAGTCAAGTGGTGGTATCGTGTAGAAAGTGAGAGATTGTTCCTTAGTCTGTAATTTACCCTCCAAGGACAGCAGACTCAGCAGATAGCAAGCATTTTCTATCAGATATATAAATATCTATATATATAACAAAACCCATAGGTGGTGGAGTGCCTTTCTTTATCTATATATTCCAGAAATGATTTCATACTGCCCATGAGTTTAAGGAACCCGGGGACTCCCAGGGCTATTTATCTTCCAGACTTTTCTTTTCATCTTTAAATGTGTGTATCCGTCTGTCTATTTCCCCAACTCTATTCTACCCTTGTCTTTCCCTCTTTCAGTTGATGGTGATTCCATCTTTTTAGTTGCTCGGTCAAAAACCATAGAGTCCATCTTTGATTCCTTTCTTGTGTGTCCTGTAGCCAATCCATTGGGAAATCCTTGTGACTCTCACAAACACCTTTTCATCACCTCTGCTCCTACTGACCAGCTCCAAGCCATCATCATCCTTCCCCTGGATTATTGTACAGGTTAAACATCCCATGTCTGAAAATATTAAATTCAGCATGCTCTAAAGTCCAAAACTTTTTGACTGGTGACGTGACACTCAAAGGAAATGTTCACTGGAGACTCTCAGATTTATGGATTTGGGATGCTGGACTGATAAGAATGCAAATATTCCCAAATCTGAAAAAAATTAAAATCTGAAACACTTTTGGTTTAAGCATTTCAGATAAGGGGTACTCAACCTTTAATAACCTCCTGTTTGTTTCACTGCTTTAGCCCTTGCCATCCCTCCAGATTGCATCCTTCCTGCTGTTCACAGTCCTGCCTGTTCTCACTTTTTCATTCAGAGGAAGGCCCAGCATCCTCACAGTGACCATGCAGCACCGTAGGAGTTGCCTCCCTGCTGCCTTCAATCACCTCTCCTCCTGTCACTTCATTTCTACTGTGCTTTAGCCACACTGGTTGCCTTACTTTTCTTTGAATGTTCCATTCGCAGACTCCCAGCACCTTGTTGCTAGCTGTGTCTTCTCTTCTTTCCCACTGGCTCACTCCTTCACCTATTTCCAGTCTTCCTTTACTCAGCTGTCATCTTCCCAATGATACCCATGTGTTCACATTGTCTTTCCTCCACCTGCCCTGGCATCCTGATACTTCTTTCCCTTCCCTACCCCTACTCCCAGTATTTACTACCATCTAACATACTGTAGAGTATATCTAACTATTCCACCTCTTGTTTAGTGTCCATCTCCCCATTAGGATGTAAGCTTTATGAGGGGGCAGAAAGTTTCATTTGTTTTTGTTTTCACTAATGTACTACAAGCCCTTAGAATGGTGCGTGGCACATAATATGTTCCCAATAAGCATTTGTCTACTTCACTGAATCACAGAATAAGTCAAAGGGACTACCATAAAGCATAATAAATAGGATGATCCTGTACTGAAAAACAGTACAATTCATAGTGGAGAGAGATTTGTACCACCTGTACAAATTCTGTATGACTCTTACAAATCACTCCCATATGTTGTGTCTGAAGCAATATTCTCTCTCACAGTTTTGAGGATAAGGCTCTCACTTAGAGTCCCTCATGAGTACACTCTAATGGTGGTTGAGACTGGGGTCAACTGGGGCTCCTTCATTCATACAACTGATGCCTGGGTTGGGAGCTGGAGAGTTGGGGCTTGGTCAAACATGTCTTTCTTTTTCTAAGGGGCATCGCTACTTGCTAACTTGGGCTCATAGTATGGCAGTGGTCATGATTTCTTATATAGTGGCCAGATTCCCATAGAGTAAGAGTTCCAGGAGGTCTGGTTGGCAGCTGCAGGTTTTCTCATAGCCTTGGAAGCCTCAAAACCATTTTCGCCACTTAATGTGGGAACGTGACGTCCACATACAAGGAGGGAAGAACTTGATAATCTCCCTCTTAGAGACAAACTACCACAAGGGTAATAACTCATGAACAAATGAACTTATGAACAAAAGATTACAGGAAGATATATGGTGAGCAGTATTGCATGATAACGTAGAATAGTGTGTGGTATGGTCAGATTACCTTTGACGATTCCTGACCATACCACATACTAGTTTTCTGGTCTTTGACAAATTATGACCATTTAGAATTCAATTTCTCACTTCTGAAATATGGCTAAATAAATTTAAACAAGATTGCTAGACTCTTGCCATTAGGTGTACCTTGATGGAAAAATTTGAAACATATTGTTCAAGAAAATGAAATTGGTCTAATCAAATTAACTCTTTGACCTAGAGAAAATTCATAGGTGATGGAAAATGTCACAAAATAATCCTTTCTCTTAATTATTTGATTTGTACAATTGTTAGATATATCTAATAGGTATCATAACTAAAGTATATGTATTATAAATGGATTCTTACTTTGTTTACATGTTTATTCTTTAATGATATAAATGTGCTTATTGACAAACTTGAGAACAATTCCACTTCTTTGGGATGTATTCTGCCACCAAAGCATACCTTTTTAACAGTATTAAACAATGTTGGATGGCATTACTAAATCTATGCCAGTTTGCTGGAAGGAAAGTAATGAAAACCCTTTCAAAGTAACAATTTGTGCCTGTTATTCTTACAAAGCCTCTGTTAATTTGCTTCTGAGTATCTGTAAGTGAAGAATTCTTGGCTTCTTTTTAGATTGTTTCCTATTCTTTTGCCAAAACGTTAATTCTATTTGTACTAGGTACAGTTCTAGTTCATTAAAACCATGGACTAGCAGATCTTTCTTCCAATCATTTAGGCAACAAATATAGCTCATTATACTTGTTGCCTTAGGCAACAAATATAACTCATTTCTGGGTTTTATTTTTTTTCTTTGTAACAATGGCCAAATTTCTTTACTATGATAGTGAGATAGAAGAAATGCTGAACTAAAAATCAAATAAATGATCTGGGTTTTGGTTTTCAAACTTTTTTTGGTGATCTTTTGTCTATGCATGAACCATAAGTATTCCACATTCCTGATGGTATATTATACAGATAAAATGAAATGAGGACATGCTATTAAAGGGTAAAAAACAAACAACATCAAGGTATTCTTGTAACGGAAAGAAGGTATTTTAACATTCCACATTTTTGAAGAATTTAAAGATTTCAAAAATTTTTAGATGTGCTGAAATCCTTGGATGATATATAGATAGAATTTCCTGTATCTAATAACAAGTCTTTACAAGACAAATGGCATGATATCTAGTCTTCTTGCCTCATTTATTTTATTTTATTTTTTGTAGTTGTTGTTTTCTCTTTATTTCCACCTCCCCTTTCCTAATACCTGGCACACATATTTACCCATAATTTTTTTTTTTCTTTAAAAGGGAGCTACCATTAAGAAAGATGAGCAGACCGGGGCAATTGTTGTGGCTAGGATTATGAGGGGAGGAGCTGCAGATAGAAGTGGTGAGTGTAAATGTTACCTGAATACTGATGAATCATGTTGTGTTTTGTTGAGTATCACTTCCAATATATAAGAAGATAATAATCTTTTGATGTCATACAGTAAAATAAATAATAATATATTTTTTGAAATGTGGGAACCTATTTAAGTAAATGATTGGTAAATCTCACTCTATGCTCTTAGTGTCCACAGGTGTCCAAAGTTATATTAAGATTGGTTTCAGTGTTTCTGATTTGAAAATCACTACTAAGAGCATGCAACTCTTGTGATAAATAAAAGTCATTTTATATTATATCAGTAATGTGCATTTCTAGACAAAGATCAAGGTGCTGTTATCGTTTCTTTGCCAGCATGATTATGCTGTAGTCAAGAAGAATAGACTCTAAAACCTGAGAAGTATGAGGATCTTCTTTCCAATCCTTAAATGTAGTAAGGGAATTATCAAGCTTTAATTATGGAAACAGTGGCAAATATACAGTTTGTTTTGTGGGTAACATGATAATTTACCAAATTTTATTTTCCTCAGGTCTTATTCATGTTGGTGATGAACTTAGGGAAGTGAATGGGATACCAGTAGAGGATAAAAGGCCTGAGGAAATAATACAGATTTTGGTAAGCTGTAAATTTATTTTAAAGTTGCAGTAAAAAATAAAAATGGATCACTATATTTCAGGCTTTTCATACTTGGCTTGAAATATAAAGGATTTGGACTTAGCGGTCCAGGGTTTGAATTCCAGCTCCATCATGTAATCCTTATGTGTCCTTGAAAAATACTTCAATCTGTTTTGTGCCTCAGTGTTTTCATTTACAAAATGAGAAGAAATAAAATATCTATCTGGAGTGTTTTGAGGATTAAATGAGGTGTAGTACATAAAAAGAGTTTAGTATACAACCTGTCCCAAGTCTATGCTTAGTAGATGCTTGGTAGATGGCATCCACACCATCAGTGATGCAGTTATCTTTATCTTCCTCCCGTTGACATAGCCAGCTATAGACTACAAATTATAGGCATACACATTAGTTAAACTAATTTAGGTGCCTTATGAAATCTGTAATTTGAATGAAATTATTTTAGACCTTGACAATATTAATTGTAAAGTTTAGTTGTAAAGGGACAATAAAGAGAGACTATACCTTTTATGTATGAAACCCTACTTTAAGCCTACAACAATTAAAAGAGATTTGAGTGTCTCAAAACAGGTCTCTCTATATATTATATGAAAATTTAGTGTATGATTAAGGTGGCATTTAAATCAAGAAGGAATAGAACTGTTTAATAAATAGAATTGGATTAATTGATAGTTCAGTTAAAAAAATAAGTCAGTCTCTATTTTGCACCACAAACAAAAAAAATTCCCAATAAATTAAATATTTAAGTGCAAAAATTACAAAAATTGCACAATAAAATGCAATATACAATTTTATAATTACAGAGTAGGGACAGACTTTTTAACCTTGTTATGAAATTTAAATAGAAAAATAACTTTTGTGTCTACTAGAATTAAAAATCTTCTTTATGGAAAAAAAGATGCCCTAGATAAACCTAAAAGATAAATGAGATTGTAGAAAAAATATTTTCAACATTTATGATAAGAGAGTAGTATTTCAAAATATATAGAAATATCATAAAAATCTGTAATAATACAGTAAAATAAGCAATGGATATGCATAAACATTCTACAAAAAATAACATAATATCTGAAAAACAATGAATTGCTTGAGGTTGCAAAAACCTTATGATTCTTAGGGCTGGCCAGAGTATAGAAGAATAGATTTGTTTATATAATTTGGAGATGGGCTAAATTAGTAGAGCTTTTTGAGATGTCCATCTGAAATGATCAAAATTTTGAATGTGCATACCCTTTAATCAAGAAATTCAATTACTGGAAATTAATCCTAAGGAAATAATTTGATAAATGTGTATAAACAATATTTTTTTAAAAGTTTGGAAACTTGCAAGAAGGTTGCATTGATCAAGTAATCATTCATTTACACAATGGAGTACTGTAAATTAATCACAAGGAGTGATAGACCATATGACTTAGTAATAATAGTCGTAATAATAATTGCTCACATTGATTGAGCCCTTAATAAATGACACTGTTCTGAGGGCCTTACATACATTTAAAAACCACTCAAAAACTAGAAATATGGAGGGATTACAGATAAATCTTTTGCTTTCTCTTTACCTATGCTCAGTATTACAGTATATGAATTCTTAATAGCATTTGTGAATTACTTTTATAATAAGCAATAATGATATGGCCAGTTCAAAATAAGTCAGCCCTTTATTTCATCTCTCAAAACCGCATTGTACAGAAGTTACTGTGTTGTTACAGATCTCCCTCCTTACACTTGCTAGAGCTGACTCTATGCACCATTTCCCAACTTAGCTTTCGGGACTTCATGCAGGCAAATTGAAATTGGCCGTAGTAGAACTATTTATACCATGGAAATTGTAAATGGTACACATCAGGGCCATTTACAATTGAATTGAAAAAGTTGAATCTTGGTTTACCAGCACATTACTGATGGTGAACCTCAGGGATATCTATCTTCCCTCCTCCCTCCCTCCCTCCTTCCTCCTTTTATGGTGCTTTTATGGAGCTTACAATGTAGCAGGAATAACAGATAATAAGAAATAATTGCATAAATAATTAAAGATGAAAATGGTAAATGCTAAAAAAGAGAGAGAAAGAATGTTTCAGAATGACTTGAGGGTATATTTAAAGTCAGACCTGCCCTTGTCTGTGATAGTCAGCAAAGATTGATTAGTGGTGGTGTTTCTTGATTTCATTAAATTAGAATAGACAGTCTTGTCAGCTCTTAATCTACTACATGTGGTATTTTACTCACTAATTAGAATACAGTAGATATGAATATTCTTCACTGTTTTTTTCTGAGGAGCACTGACATTAATTGAATAATATATTTAGAACTGCACTGCTGACAATATAGGTGTTTTGTCCCCCAAAACATGGATACTGATGTTAAATGTAATAGCCTGAACCGTGTACATTATCTGTTCTAGCCATTGAATACTGTGGTTATTTATGGTACTGTGCATATTTTGTGTTTCTATTTTGAAATAACCTGCCATGGATAGGAACATAGTTATTGACACCTTAAAAGTACACAGGAAATAAAAGTAAATTTGGGGTTAATGGTTTTTTTTAACTTTTTTGACAAGGTTTAGAACTTTCTCACATTGCAGGAATTTCTGCAAAAATAGTTTCCTCAATTTGTTCTATCTGAGAGTAGAAACTCCAAGCTTGTAAAATTTCAGATGCATTTAGCTTTCTACCAATTTAACTATTTTTTCTAGGCTCTGGTTTCTTATAACTCTTTCTTTCATCTGATACCAGGCTCAGTCTCAGGGAGCAATTACATTTAAGATTATACCCGGCATCAAAGAGGAGACACCATCTAAAGAAGGCAAGGTAATCATTACTTAAAAATATATATTGTGTGTATGAGGAGGAAGCAGTATTTTTTAATCTACTATATATCTATTTTTGTCACAAATTTATTTTAATATTCAAGTTTTAAATTATTATTTTGTGAACCTGAGTTAGGAGAATGTAGGCCGTTTCACATTTATTTTTCATCTTTATTCATCTTAAATAAAACTTTTCTTCCAGATGTTTATCAAAGCCCTCTTTGACTATGATCCTAATGAGGATAAGGCAATTCCGTGTAAGGAAGCTGGGCTTGCTTTCAAAAAGGGAGATATTCTTCAGATTATGAGCCAAGATGACGCAACATGGTGGCAAGCAAAGCATGAGGGTGATGCCAACCCTAGAGCAGGCCTGATTCCTTCAAAGCATTTCCAGGAAAGGTGAGCTACTGGTATACAAGAATGGCCTTTCTTCAGCTGACCTTTTGTTCTCTGCAAAATATCACTCCTGCATAGTTGTGATAAATAACCTATGAAACTTTGTCTTAGAATTTTTTATCCCTTGGGTTTGGATTTCTGTTTTGTCTAACTAAGTATGAATAATGACCAAAAATAATATGACAGTACCAGGTCATTTTAGATTTTTGTTATGAAGCAAATGGAAAGTAGCACATTAATATCTTGAAATCATGTTGATGTGAAAGGTGGAATAAAAGGCCAGCCATTTTGGAGGGAGGGGAGACAGTTTACAAAGATGTGAAAGTAGACAATTTATTTCTTAATTTGACTAGATCACATTTTGTTCATTTTCTCCCAACTGTTAAGTTTTTTTCTTAAGCCTTTTAAATATTTTGGTGTTATTCTAGTCTTGGGCCTGTGCTAAAAATTGATAGGCATGTGGACTTTCTTTCCCTTAGGAGACTGGCTCTGAGACGACCAGAAATATTGATTCAGCCCTTGAAAGTTTCCAGCAGGAAATCATGTAAGTTTATTAATAAGAATACAGAGTAACCAAATCCTGCTGTTTATTTTTGACTATTAAAGCAGGTGCTCATTGCAGAACAAGGGCTTATATTACCTTGCAGTGGCTTTTGGATCATCATTTCTCGGGAACCAAACAAATAAGACGTTTATGTCAGAACATTAATTTGAATCTTTTGAAGAAATGAGTAGCTGGGGTTGTTAATAATAAACTCATGACTCCCTCTTTAAGAAATACTTGCTACTGTTTTCTTTGATTTCCAAATTTAGGTATTTTATTAAATGTAACTTAAAATACAACTCTCTTAATTCTCCAAAGCCAGGTGGTTTGAGTAAGATATCTTTTGGTAAAGATTGGGGGGATGGAGGGGAGTCTACCACTTTCTTGGGCATAAAAGTACTTGTGCTTAAGACCAGTTGTTCTTGTTCTTAATTCCTTTCTTCTCCACAAATCTTAATACCTCTGACCTTTAACCTACCCATTTGGAGTTATCTCCAGAATAGATTAAAAGAAAATGAGAGTTCGAAAAAGGATGGTGTATGACTATTGGAGAACAGTGTAGATTAGGTGTACTTTTTTCTTTCAGTCTAACCTTCTCTTAGCTTTTCTTTACCTTCTACCTCTTGCCCCCCTCAAGTCACCATCCCATAAATTTCCCATTTCTCTTTCCCTAAATGTTTCATGGTTCTAAGTATTTTAAGAGGAAAAAATCCAGCCCTTTGTTTTTAGCATAGAAATTGTACATTAAATAGCAAAATGAGCAAATAAGTGGCTCTGGAATTTTACACCAACATCTGTTTTCAGTATTGTTGCATTTTTCACATCTTCTGTTATTTCTGTCAGATTGTGGAAGCATATATCCCAGGAATCACATTAGAAGAGAGCCAAACTGTAGTCGAGTATAAATCTCACAAGCCAGGCAGATACTTAAAGTGGAGTGCTGATTCAAAAGCCTGCTTGTTCTTGCTGCATAAGTCTGGGCACAAGGAAAAAATGCTTGTGATAGAATGCCACATGTCTTATGACATTGAAAAGCTTAGAGCTTAACGAGAACACTGCTTTGTTTTGAAATGTGGTGACTTTTCACTGACCAACACATCCCGCTGAAGGGAACTTGGAGGTCTCTGCCTGACTTGCTCTTTAAGGGATTTTTAAATTGGGGCTCACATATATCTAGAAGATTTGATGTATGTGGGTTGAAATATGAGAGTGAGATAGATGTGATTACTTAAAAGTGAGATAGATGTGATTATACTTGAACCTGAATCTGTACTCAAATTTGTTTGAGTTGTAGGCAATGTAGAAATGTACAGTTTGCTGTAAATATAAATTTGCATTTATGGTAATTTTTCTGATACATGTATATGTGATTTTAAAAATAACTATATGAAAACGATTTTGTTTTCAATAGCTCTTCCAAACTGGTTTCTGTATAGATGTGGGTGAATATGAAGGGGGGTGGGGCGTGTATGTGTGTGTGTGTGTGTGTGTGTGTGTGTGTGTGTGTGTAGAAGCATTAATTGTTGTGAGTCATTTGCCTATTTGCATAATTTCTTTTTATGTTGATACTTCAATATTTATTAGTTCTGAGGAATACTTATTTAAAAAAAATATTTTTTTACCTAGCTTCAGGTATTCCTTTAAGAAATATTTATTCTAAGATTTTTTTTTTTCCAACCTCCTGGACTCAGGTGATCTTTCCACCTCAACCTTCCGAGTCACATGCCTCCACACTCAGCTAATTTTTTGGGTTTTTTTGTGAGATGAGATCTTGCTGGGTAGTTCAGGCTGGTCTCAAACTCCTGGGCTCAAGCAATCCTCTCACTTCAGCTTCCCAAAATGCTAGGATTATAGGCATGAGCCACCACCACATCCTGTTCCAGTATTTATCTTTACTGACATACCCTCATTTTAACAATTTTTTTTGTTTTTCTGGCTTTTGAATACCATTTAGAGATGCTTATCCTCTTTCTTCCTTTCTTTTCTCTTACCCATTCTTTTTTTTAAAACTAGACATTGATTCACTGAGAGATGTATTATTTGTTTATATATATGTGCATATATGTGTTATGTTGTTTATTTTCAAATAAATCTGGTCAAGATTACCCTAATTAAATCATTAGTGTATAGTAAATATGGTCTTGTTCAGAGAGAAAACATATTTTTTGTGGAAGTTAAATACAAAGCTAATGTCTTTATTCTTGAAGAATTGAAATTCTGCTTGACATTTCCTTGAACTTTGTTTCATAAACTTAAAAATTATGCAGAAATAATTGTATTGATTCTGAACATTTTAAATGGTATTTAAAAGCACTTTAACTTATGTTTTGGTAATGAGTTTTTATATATATATAAAAAAAAAAATATATATATATATATATATCACTAAATCTTGTAAAGGCCATCTCACTATTTTCTGGATTTCAATATTTGTTACTTAGATTTTTGAAATAGCAAGTTCCAGTTATCATTTTTACATTTACTAAATCAGAGAAAAATGGTATGAAGAAAAACAGCAAGTTGATAGAAAACCTTTTGTTTTTATGACTTTGAATATTAATTACTAGGCTAAGTTTTAGGAAAATTTCTGACAATATAAAATTTCTAAAATAAGAATAATTCTATCATGTTGGTATTTGTAAATGTATTAAAAATATATGGTGATAAAATTTTTTCCACTAAACTTTATAAGTAATGTTTATTGTTTTCACACAAAAGGTTAATTCAGAAAAATATAGATTTCTTATGTTGTTACATTAAGCTCATATGTCTAAAACCTTGTCAAACATTTTCTTAATATTGATGGGGTTTTGTATAAACAGAAACACAAGATTTTAAAAAATACCTAAAGTATTTTTTCTCTAATAGTTACTAATACTATTTGGAAGATGCCAAAGTTTAGAGTCTGTGTAGAAAGAGATATAGATGAACTAACCTATGAATTTCACGTCATAGATGATTAAAGAAATTGTAGCATATACTGCTCACTTTTATCTCAGTGATTTGTGTTCTTGCACATCTGAAGATGTTGCTTTTGATGCACTGTCATGGCAGATGCTTCTAGTCTTTTCATTCAAAGTGTTCTGAGCCAGGTTATCTCATGTTTTGCCCTGGGGACTCAATGCCATGCAGGTAAGAGTGGATTAACTCTTAGGGGTCTGGTCTGTGGCAGATTTTAGGAGAGATTGCAGGGAGGAGTGAAGGGAGATTTAGGAAAGTGGTTTCTAGTATGGGGATTTAACTTTGCCATGTGAATTATATCACACCAATACAGTGTGAATTATATCATACCAATACAGGAGATACAGTTTCTCTTTTTGTCAAGAGTATTGTGTATGTCCCTCTCAGGGTGACATCCAGTGCAGTGGAATGGGACAGTAACTGCTTCCTGCTGTGCAAGGCTCACCGTGTGCTCCCTGAGAGCCTGTCCCTTCTCTGATGACAGTACAGTTTTCTCTTTGAGACCCTCTTGGCCTCCGCTCCATGATTTTTCAGATTTTCCTCTTCTGCTCTTAATGTGCTGAAGATAGCAGAGAGTGGACTTCCAATGGCACTGGGAAGAGGAACCTGCCCTCCCCAGGTGCTTCTGGCAGGAGAAACTCACCTGGGATGTTGAAGCTGCAGGAGGGGTGTGTGAGTGGGTCTGGGAGATGATGCCAAGCTGACAGGAAACTTGGAAGAAACATCATGTCCCATTACCTTTTTCCTGACAATTTCTAGCCTGAGACTTGAATAATTAAAGCATGATTTTCTTGTGATATCATAGCATTGAATTAAAAACCCAAACTTGAGCCAGACTGTGTGGGGCCAAATACTGGTTTTGCCACATACAAGTGTGTTGTATTTTTTTCTTTCTAATTTGCTGTTGAGGTTTCTGGAGAGTGGCTATAAACCCTAGCCCTGCACTGACAGGGCTGCAAGGGAGGTGGTTGTGGCTGTCTACAGTATGCCTTATACCTTTCTTGAGGTACTTTTTTATCCTGGCAGAACGTTTAATACCTAAGTGTCCACCTGTAGCCAACTGTCCCTCTCACAAGGACTTGTTTATACTGACAGACACCTTTGTGGCTCTTGTCTGACCTGTGCCCACTTTATTCCTACCAAGATAGCCACTCCCTAGGAAGCCCTGATCTGGAAAGAGGTAGATTCAATTGTGTCAGGCAGGTGAGACACAGAGGAGGCAACTCAACAAAATACATGAAATAACAAGGTGGTATTACTTACAGGTTGGGAGAGATGAGGGGAGCATGCCTCATAGAGCCAACAGAAAGAGGGGAGCCATCTGGGACATATAAGCTCAGCCAGTGGGTGGGGAGCGAGGTGGGGAAACCTGTGGGCCAAAGCCTTTATTGGGGTCCAGGGCATTATCCAAGCAGGTTTCCCGCAGGGAATTCTTCTAATTCATGGGTCTAGAACAGGCAGGCACCAGCTCTGTGACTGAGAGGTGGTCACTGCAGCATAACTGTGTAGTCCATGTGGGGTGTGAGGTTCAGTGGGGCAAACAAGCAGGCTGTATGTAGCTATACTATAGGGAGGTGGTCACCAGCAGGCAGCAATATATGGCAGATATCTGATCACTCACCTTGAAGAACTGAGAGGAAGCAGAGAGGTAGAAGCTATGTCAAGGGTGACTACCCTGTTTCTAGTATGACAGAGTTAAAAGTAGATTCACAATGAATGACAAAGCAACATAAAACTATTAGAATTCATCACAGAATTTTTTCTCATCTGTGGAATGGGGATAAGAGTACTGGCCTCATAGAGCTAATTAAATTAATTAATTAATAAGAATTAAATAAGTTTGTGCATTTAATGTGCATAGAACAGTGTCTTCCACCTGGTAATAATCATGCAATTGTTCCAGCTGTCTTCTGAGATCAACCTTTTATGTATCTTCTCTGTTTTGTTCTAACTTGCTAAGTCTAAGGTAATCTCTTCCTTCCATTTCCTACCAGATGGCCATTAAGCATGATGTTTGCTACTCAATATATGTGTGTAGTTTTATCATGCAAAAAAATATTTGCTTCCTACTTCAGAATTGTGTGGAGAGAGTCTTTTGTAAACGTATGCAGCATATTCGTGACCTTTTATTAGGCTATGAAATATATATATGAATATACTAATTATATTCTTTTTGTGAATTGGCATTAGTGTTTTAATTTTTTGTTTGTTTTTGTGTCATGGAATTTATCATCCAAGTTTCATGGCGCCAGGTCATTAATCAAGGGTGCAATATTCAGTCTATTCTATTGTTCCTATTAAAAATAGACTATATTTAACAATCTACTGAGATTTCACTGATTTCATCAGTCTTTTTTCATACTGTATGTTTGGCTTGGATAATCTATATTGCGTAGTTTATTCTTTATTTCTAACTGTTTTAGATACTTGTGACATTTCAGAGCTTCTAAGACGTGTGCATAAATCCACAGCTCAGGTGACTCAACACAAGCCTGAGTTACAGAGATTTGCTTGTTGTTTGCTCCTACTGGTCAAGTAGCACCCACAGTTTGAAGACCCATAACTATTTGAAAAGTAAAAATACAATAGTATACACTTATCCAGAAGTTTTCTCTGGCCACCATTCTATAGATTGGAGAGATAAGCAAGCTGAGGGCTGCTGTGATCACAGTTTACTCTATAAGGTCATGTAGCAAAATGTGTTTCACCTTGGAACATGGTTAGATTTTCCTTCTATTATGTTGCCAATACTATTCCAATTCTTAACTCAAACTGACTCTTCTAAGTTATACTTAACTTTTAAATTGCTATTCTATTTGTCATTTAGAAATTGTTCAGGATGACTTTTTAAAATGCCTTTCATCAAATATAATATAGACAGGAAGAAAATGAATGGTTCTACTACCTGACTCATTTCATATGCATAGTAAGTTGATAGTTGTCAGGATATTGTTAAATCTATATGATATTTAGATATTTTAAGCACATTTTTTTCTTCTATTTTCTGAATTATTGATGATGGCCATTCTGACTGGAGTAACGTTTCTTATTTATAAAATCATTTTTTTCTTTTCACAATTTTTATCATGAAATTTCTTCAAAGTATTGAACAAATTGATTTACAAACAAAACTGTTCTATGAAAATAAATGAAATCCCTTTATTGAAGGTATTAAAAAATGCTGATTTTTTTCTGATTATTTTTCCTATTGGTTATTTAGTAGGCTATATGTGTACTGTGCTTTGACTATTTAAGTGTATGTATTATTTTTAGAATAAGACTGCAGTGCAGTCTAAAATGTAGTTTTTCATCAATTCTATTTATTTGCTGACTTATAATTTTGAAACATTTAAAATACATTTGTGTTTTCTTTTGGCATTTCTAAGATGAGGAAACAGTTGAGTGTGGTAGGTGGATTTTTTTTTTCTTGGATGAAATATCTTCTACTTTAATTGTATTTTCTGCCCATTTAATCATTTTCCTTCTCATTTTTCTTTGTGCTTCTCAGAGGAAATTAAAGGTACATGTATAAAAGTTTCCCTGCGTAGTCTAGTCATTTTATTTAGTGCACATATGTATAGGATTAGATTGAATATAGCAAGCAGTTTATAAGTATTAGACATCCAAACTTCTATCTTGACATTACAGTATCAAAAATTGTGGTTGGACTTTGTTTTAGAAAGAAATGTACTTTTTTTTTTTTTGCTTCATGTAGTAGAAATATAGTATGTAATCTGAAATAATATGCTTTTATCTGTCAGTAGTAAGTAGCCTCAAATAAAGGTGAATGAAGAAAACAATGTTATTCAAATATATTGGCAGACTTATTTTGATTGTAAGGATGAAGGGATAACCTTCTCAACTATTTGATTTCTGTGCAGTTTGTGCTGTTATTTCCAGAAGAAAGAGACCTAAAATAATAAGTACTGCACTACTTATATGAAGTGTTTAAGATGTGTATAACCCAGTATTCATTTAATTCCCAGAAATAACTAGCACATTGCTTACTTTAAGCATATTTTTATATTTTCTTTTTCAAAAACAAAACAAAATAAAAATAGCAGTATTATTCCTTCCACGCATGAAATCTCTTATTATAAGTCAAAAAGGTATTTTAAAATCTTAACCTTTCTGTCTAATCCAGTGAGCCAAAATAAGTGCTATAATTTACCTGTTATCAAAGAGCCTGATTTATAAAAATAAGTTTACTTTGGGGGATCAAGCAGCATGATTTTCTTAACTGCAAAAGTATAAACCACTCAGATAAGTTTTATAATTTTCACAGAGCTGCATCAAGGAATCTTTGGAAGGGGGTGAAAAAACAAAACAACAAAAACCTCGCATGGTGTTCAAAATTTTACTTTAAACTTAAATATAAAACAAGATGTTTTATGTTTAAGATGGCATTGTGAGGGCTGTCTATGCTGTGCTTTACATAATTGTTTTAAGTAATGTGTTTTTGCATCTGTGGCTGGGCTTCTAACTGTTCTGCTTTATTTCTTGGCTTTTGTTCTGTATGCTTTTACACTCCATCCAGAAGATGCTGGCCTTGCTGGTAACAACAGTGGAACCTATATAGGTGAGCACTTGGTCATGGAAGAGGATTTCTTTCTTTTTGTTGCTTTCTTCAAACTTATTACCTGGTTGGATCTTAAGTGAGCATCTTTGCCTTAGCACGCCCTGAGATTCGTGGGGTGGCATGAAACCTTTATCTTAAACAGGCTCAATGGGCTGGACACAAAGGATTACTTAGTATGCTTTGATTATGATTTTCAAGAAACTTTTCAGATGCTGTACCTTTGTAAACCATTACCTATTTCCAGAATGAAAAAGCATCCTATTGGTATCAAGTAATTTTATTTAATTAACAGTATCTGGATGTGTATAAGTTACCTGGCTAATGGTGAATTATTTAAACCTAAATAATTTTTGTTTTCCATTTAACTTTCTGATTATGTTTTATTTTGATTTATTATTTCCATAACCGTCCTAAATAACCATTGACTAAACAGCCCCAAATACTGTTTAGCCTTACAATTAATTTTTAAATCTATACTGGAAGGAAAAATTTCCAGTTTGGAGGTGCCAGAGAATGTTAGAAACAAAAACAAAATTATCTGGAAATTGTTAAAATCATCAAAATTATATTCACGTACATTTCACTTCCTACACTTCCCACCCTTGCCATGTGTAGGTGTCCTTACACATTCTCTGTGTGTAGTGGGGAGAGGAAATGGTGTAGAAACACACTTTTAGAGGTCAACTGCTTCCTCCTCCTTATTTTAAAATCAGTATTTATATACATGATGATAATATTCCCTGGCTACTGGAGAAATGTGCCAGATACTATATTCAGTACTGAATATATATTATCTTTAATACTGTGAGGTTGGTGGTATTGTATTTATTTTGTGAAAAGGAAACCGAGGCCCAGAGAGTTTGTAGTATTCGCCTAAGGATCTAAGATAGTAAATGCTGCATCCTGGATTCATATCCACATCTATGTAGTTATAACACTGTACTCTATTTTTAATATTTGCTGCCATTTGAGTTTTCATTTTACAAAACAAACCAAAAAACACTGTGCAGAAATATGGAGAATTTCAGTTTCTAGACTAGAGAAAATCTGGGTAAAAATTGGATGATGAGAGAGATTTTTAAATGTCATTAATTCTTTACTCATTTTAGAACAATACCAAGTGATACCTCATATACTGATTGACATCTCCCCTTATATTGATGGAAACCTTAGTGATTTAGAACAGCAGGTATTTCTTCTCTTGATTCTGTGGTCAGCAGCCTGGTTTTTTAGCATGGTGTGTCTATGCAGTCATGTATCTTGGCCAGGATCTGGTTGGTCTGGGAGGACTCAGGTAGTTGAGCTTGTTTCTGTTTTATGTGGTCTTTCATTTTTCACGAAGCTAGCCCATGTGGTGGTCGCAGGGTCCCAGCAAGGGGAAGCAATCTTCAGTGTGTACATGCTTTTGGAGCCTCTGCTGGTCAGCATAACATCTGCTGATACCTCATTGGCCAAAACAAGCCTCATGGTCTAGCCAGGGTCAATGTGAGGGACTACCTGAGAGCTTAGATACAGGGTAGGGTGAAGAGATAGACAGACTACTGCATGATTCTGCTTCAGAAAGAATGGTACCTCCTTCCTCTGACTTTGAGGGCTTATAGTCAGTTAAACCAGTGGTCCCCAACCTGTTTTGTTTTTGTTTTTGTTTTTGAAAGCAGGACTTACTGAGGGGATAGAAAAGCTCCCACAGTGGGAGGGGACCCAAAGGAGTTGTCCCCCCAACCTTTTTGATATCAGGGACTGGTTTTGTGGAAGACAGTATTTCCACAGACTGGAGGGTGGGGGACATGGTTTCGGGATGATTCAAGTACATAATATTTATTGTGCACTTTATTTCTATTATTATTGCATTACATTATAATATATAATAAAATAATTATACAACTCTCCATTTAAAAAAAGAGGCTCAGGTGGAAGAGGTAAATAAAATAATGGGCGGGCCATGTGTAGACTAAAAAAAGTGTTAGATTCTGACTTAAAGCCTGCTACCAGATGCAGCTGTGCAATTAAAGTACATCAACTCACTTGCCACTCACTGATAGGGTTTTGATAAGAGTCTGCAAGCAAAAATTTATTATGATTTCTGTGCATTCAAACCTCACTGCTCATGTTAATCTGTATTTGCAGCCACTCCCCAGCACTAGCATCACAGCCTCAGCTCCACCTCAAATCATCAGGCATTAGATTCTCATAAGGAGCATGCAACCTAGATCCCTCACATATACAGTTTGCAATTGGGTTCGCGCGCTTATAAGAATTTAATGCTGCTGCTGATCTGACAGAAGGCAGGCAAGTGATGGGGAGTGGCTGTAAATACAGATTAAGCTTCTCTCACTCACCTGCTGCTCACCTTCTGTGCAGCCAAGTTCCTAATGGGCTGTACCAGTAATGGTCCGGGGGTTGGGGATCCCTGAGTTACATGATGAGGGGATACACAGCCAGTGGAAGACAATGTGGAAATCACTGTCTGATGAGTGTCATACATAATGCTGCAATTCATATGAGGAGATGATGCCTCATCCTGAGGCAATCAGGGGCCCAGTCCTATAAGAGATGGCATTAGAGATGGTGCCAAGGGATAGGTGGAATTCAGGTAGCAGCAGGGATAAAGGTAGAAGCAACAGCATAGAAAGAAATGAATTTTGCAGACCACTGGGCATATTTAAGTTGGGTGAGATGTAGGTGCTAGAACTGGAAATTTAATTTGGTACTTGATAATATGAGATCATAACTGTCAGGTTAGGTAATTAAACATTGATTAAAGTTTTGCCTGATTTTTATACTTTTTCTTTGTATAAAATTTCATCCAGGAATGAAATATGGGCTTTTAATCTGTTTCTCTCTTCTAGAATTTAGGAGTTTTATAAAATGAATATTAAATCAGTAGATATAAGTGCAAGTACAAAAGTGAAGGAGTGATCAGTATGGTGGGTTTCTTTACAGAGCTTGAGGAAAATGAGTTCTGCTAAAACAGAACTCAAGTTGAATCTGGCAACTTGGAGTCACTGATAATATCAGAAAAACAGTTTTTCTTGGAGTGAAAGATTGTAAGATGTCAAGTAATAACTGAGTTGAAAGAGAAAGAAAGGTAGCAATTGAGTTCAAAGTAGCTTTTAATCATTGAGGGCAAAGTATTTTAGTTGGAGAGGATAATATAATCATTTTTGTAGACAGAGATGATGGAACCAATGGTATAGGAGTAAATGTCTGAGATAGGAAACATTTAGTAGTAATAAGCCCAAATAAGACTAGATTTAAATGAAAGAATTGAGCCTTAGTAGCTAAAATTAACCTTGCAGATATCCCATGACCTAGAAAAAAATGCTTTTTTTGAAAAGGCAAGCAGGGCTCAGTGGCTCAGCCTGTAATCCCGTGCCTTTGGGAGGCTGAGGTGAGTGGATTGCCTGAGCCCGCGGGTTCGAGACCGACCTGGGCAACTTGGCGAGACCTCATCTCTACAATAAATCAAAAAATTAGCCGGGCGTGGTAGCGTGCGCCTGTAGTTCCAGCTACTCAGAAGGCTGAGGCGGAAGGATCACTGGAGCCCAGCAGGCGAGGCTGTAGTGGCTGGGAGCGGCCACTGCACTCCAGTCTGAGTGACAGAGTGAGACTCCAACTCAAAAAAAAAAAAAAAAAGAAAAGGCAGAGGGCTTTGTGCTTCCCAAGAAACCATTTTACATCACCCAATTACGGATGAAAAGAGGGGGCCATCTACGTATAATGGGAATATCATTAATCATATAATAATTCACATAAAGCTGGTGACTCACAGACACACTGCAGGATGTGTTTGGACAAAGATCTATGTTTTTGTTAGACTCCAAAATTGAGAACTTTCATATAAAAATGTCTGGCTCCTTTGGCAAAACAAAAGGTAAGACCAAACTAGACCTTCATTTCTTGATGTTAACAATTAACTGAAGCTGTTACAACTGACTCCTTAAGTGGAGAGTTTAAGAGCTCTCCAGTTCTACGTAGTTCCCACCGCTCCTCATTACCTTGCCAATTTTGAGACAGGATATCAGTTCATATTATCCTAACAGTTGTACTGTACTGGAGCTTGTGTGAGAATAGTGAAGCATTTCTTTGTATCCATATTCTTACCTATGGGGAAGTAAAAGTAACCCAAGAGTATTTCAAGAAGATTGGACAACATGTTTCTTCAAGGGTTGAATTTTGTGCAAAGTCTATGACTGTTAGCAAAAGATAATTTAAGATTTTTCTCCCTACTTGGCTTTGGTAGACTTTTGAATGTACAAACTTTGGCAGTAGAGCAGCAGTCCCCAACCTTTTTGGCATCAGGGACCAGTTTTGTGGAAGACAGTTTTTCCGTGGATGGGAAGGATCATCAAGCATTAGATTTTTTTTTTTTTGAGTTGGAGTCTCACTCTGTCGCCCAGACTGGAATGCAGTGGCCGCTCCCGGTCACCGCAGCCTTGACCTGCTGGGCTCCGGCGATCCTTCCGCCTCAGCCTTCCGAGTAGCCGGAATTATAGGCATGTGCTGCCACGCCCAGCTGATTTTTTGATTTATTGTAGAGATGAGGTCTCGCTGCCCAGGCGGGTCTCGAACCTGCGGGCTCAGGCAATCCACTCACCTCAGCCTCCCAAAGGCACGGGATTACAGGCTGAGCCACCGAGCCCGGCAAGCATTAGATTTTCATACAGAGTGCCCAACCTAGATCCCGTGCATGTGCAGTTCAAGAGTTCCTGCCCCTATGAGACTCTAATAATGCCTCTACTGATCTGACAGGGGGTGGAGTCCCGCTTGCCAGCCACTCATCTCCTGCTGTAAGGCCTGGTTCCTAACAGGTCACTGACCAGTACCAGCTCGCAGCCCAAGGGTTTGGCAAACCCTGCTGTTGAACTCATGGCCTTCGAAACAATAGTTTCTTTTCCATACTTTACTGTGGCAAAGGGACAGACATGGCCAGTGTGTATTAATATATGTTAAACATAACAGCTTCCTGGTATAAGTACTTGTTCTGACACGTGTGCAAA